GTGTGTGTGTGTGTGTGTGTGCGTGTGTGTGTGTGTGTGCGTGTGTGTGTGTGCGTGTGTGTGTGTATATTTGTCTGTACCAATTTTTCATCTCGGAAGCTACGAAAGCTACAGGGCTGAAACTTTGGGAACTTAATGTACACTCATGTGCGGGCCACCATCCCCAAAATGGGCGCCCTTACCAGTGTGGTACCCAAGTACGAGCCCGTGGAAGTTTTTTTCGGGTAAGTTGCTAACTCAGAAACCTGAAAAGTTGGAAAGTTGAAATTTTAAGGGAATGTTCCCCATCCACGTAGGTGTTAGTGAACTTAGACCCAGACATCAAGTTTGCGCGGTACTCACATGCAAGCCCGTGAAAGTTTTTTTCGGGTAAGTTGCTAACTCGGGAACCTGAAAAGTTAGAAAGCTGAAATTTTAAAGGGATGTTCATTGTCCACTTAAGTCTCAACGAGCTCAAACTCAGCCCTCGAGTAACTAGGAAGCTGAAATTTTAAAGAAATATTTTCTAACAGTCCTGGCAGCAGTCTCAATTCTTTCAGCTAGAAGCATCTGCCAAAAAACTCAGTGCCGTTAGCGACAAAGATCTGCGGGAAACTATGCAAAAAACGCATTTTCGCACGGCATTTGGTGCGCTGGCCACTTTTTTTTCTGTGTATTCGCCATGGCTGTGTCTTATATTCTATTATTGTTCACGTAAGGTAGTGCTCCTGAACGATTGTTTCCATCATACGTTACATAAGTGGCTAGGTTTTTATGCATTTCTTGCATCTATTGTCAAAGGGTTTTCCGTGTGTGTATGTGTGTGTGTGTATATGTGTGTGTGTGTGCATGTGTGTGTGTCCGTCTGTACTGATTTTTCGTCTCAAGACCTGTACAAAAGCTAAAAAGCTGAAGCTTTGGTAACTTAATCTACATGCATCCACGGGCCCCTATCCCTAAAATAGACGCTCTTGTCCACACACGATTCCCAAGCACAAGCCTGGGAAAACTTTCGACGGGTAAGTTGCTAACTCGGGAGCCAGAAAAGCTAGAAAGCTGAAATTTTCAGGGGAACTTGTGTTGCAGGTGATGGTGATAAGGAGAACAGTAGCAGTGTTTTGTCGGCACGGACAGGGACAAGAATTACACGAACTGCGCCCACCAATATGATCAAGCATGCAAACGTGGTCCAAACGCCATCCATGCCTGCTGGCGTCTCTGGAAACGTCCTTTTAAATGCGAATACTCCCAGTGATGCTGTTTTTGCTGGACAGCCCAGTACTTCAGTGGCTGTTAACACCTCGGCTGCTGCTTCCAAACGTAAGTAATTTTTTGTAGGAAATATTCTATAATAGGGATTTAGGGATGAAACACAGGCAGACCATTTTCTATATATTAAAAGTTAAAAAGAGAATATAGGAGAAAGAAAGAAACAATGAAAAGAAGAAAAGGATATTAAAATAGGTAAGGGGTATATTAAAAAAAATATTTGTTATAAGTAAGAAATGTTTCGGTCCATTAAATCGTATACATTTCTTACCGTTACCACAATTGCACCTCGCGTCAGTACGACGATTGTGATAACACAGTAAATTAGTAAGGTATATAAATTAATTAAGATAAAAACATCTAATTCAGAAAAAAGGAAAGTAATACTAGGGGAAAAAAGGAAAGTATAAAAGTATGTAAGAAAAGAAAAGTAAAAAAAAAAAGGAAAAAGAAGGACTAGGAGGTAGCTGCAATGGCGTGTACGAACAAGTCCTGGTAAGTCGGGCGCAAATATTTCTTTCCTCATGACATTTCGAAATGTCATACGGTTTTGTGCCACATGAACAGCCCTACTATCTTTTCCATCATAATTTATTAAACTAACCCCATTCCCTTTCCCTACCTCTGCTCCATCCTATTCCCAACTCCTGGCTTTGGGCACTCAACTACGTCTGGGCCCTGTCATCCACTACCCCTAACCAACCCTCCCCCCCTCTCCCTCCCTCCCATCCCTTTGCCACCCCCCAGTTTCGTTATCCAGCCATCGAACATTGGGGTAACGCCAGTCGGCGCTCAGTGACATCATGCCAAGTGGTACCGGCAAGCCAGTCCTAAAATAGCATTAGCCGAAAAACGAGTACGTCCCTCAATGGCGGCCGAGCCGAGGCGAATTCGTGCTAACTGTTGAGGGTCGAGCTGCAAGGATTGTAGTACCAGATTTTTTGTCATGGCAAAGTTCCAGATGCCATGTGTCAGGGCTTAAAATCCCCCTCAATATCAAATTTCGGCTAACCATGAAAAGTAGTAGAATAAAAGGGTTGAACATATGTATAATACCTATTAGTTACATGGCTGTATAAGAGGGCATTTTACGATGCAGTCTGTGTTTCATTCCTTTGCTGCGGGTAGAAGCGGGAATCATCAGTACAGCCTCCTCCTGTCCGCCGTGTTCTGAACAGCCATGTAACTAATTTGCAAGACGAATATGCGAAAGAAAGAGAAAACAGAGGAAGACTCCAAACAGAGTAAAAGAGGAGTGAAAGAAAAGGGAGTTAACTGAAGTCGGAAAGAGTTTGATTTTCGGTGATAGCTGATCGTAGAAAATAGTGATTTATCCCAAATAATTTACAATTTGAATAGGTATTTACAGGCATGGCCTTAGTTGATCATCGACAACTAAAGCCGCCGATCGCTGTGAATAGCAATCCAGCCACAAAATCGTCCGAAATAAGCAAAAGCGAAAACAGAAGGAGTGCCAGCGCTCATACCGTACTATATTTATCATTTTTTGATCTAGTTCCCTTCATTTTGATCACGATCTCGT